AGTGCCTGCAGGAACTCAAAATAACTGTTGGTACTACAAAGGGAGGCATACGCATGGGGTGCTGTAGAGAGGAAAAAAAAATCTCTTTTCATGGTTGACATTTCTACATGGATCACACTCTAGTACTGCTTCAGCTTAAAATGGAATTAGTTAACTTCCAGGGAATATACCAGAGAACCCTAAAGGGAAGTGAACTTAATTAGTTTGTGGCATATTTAGTTAGTTACATCAACGAAGCTATCAACCAGGCTCTGGCTGGATCAAGGGCAGATTCCAAAATTTTAAGTGCCGACAATTTTTTTTTGGTGGGGGGAGGACACATAACTTTTTGTGGCCTTTATGAGAGGTGACAATACATTTTAGAGTTTTGAACGAGAAGGGAAATAAAATAGACTAAAAGAATAAATAGTGTTACTCTCATTGGGTGCATTCAATGAGCTGACACAGGGCAACCCTGAGATAGTGGGGCAAGGGCTAACCAAAGTCAATTTGTAGAAGCTAATTAAACGCAATCATCATTTATTAATACGACCCCCCTCCTGGCTTACCTAGCCTCTGTCTCTTCTCTGAGTGAAGTTTGGCAAGTGACTCAATAACTCTGCTTCTTGCATCTGTGGCATAAACGTTATATGCAAATGACCAACTCCCACTGTCTGATGCTTCCCCCTGCTCAAGATCCGCCACCTCAGTCTTGTCTTCAGAGGGTGTTGCCATGGCAACTGTATCATTAATCCTTTCTTCATTGCCTCTGTCCTCGGTATGAGTAAAACTCGAGAAAACTGCTTCTGAGGTGGACTTTGTAAGGCCTTTCTGATCGCTGGTTTTCTTGGACTGGCAACATGCTTCCTTTTCTTTTGTTTCTGATGATCTCAGATCGTCTGTGTTTGCATTGTTGCTTTCTTGCTGTTTCTTGGGCTCATTTTCTTCTATATTTGTGCCTTTCCTACTGCTTTTACTGCTGTCATCTCTGGCACTTTTGGTCAACCTGAAATAAATATCAAAATTTCTCCGATTTTAAGGGTCCACTTTTTTGAAGGGAGAAGGTAGCATGTGGAAACATCTGTGCAGAAGACACAACTTACGCTTCAAGCCTTCTGGAATAAGTTGCTGCATTCCTTTGCAGCTCAGTCTTCAAAGCACTCTTGGGCAAGTCGTTCAGTGCATTTCTGAATGCATGTTTGACTGCAGCAATGTTGACAGGTCCAGTAACTACATGTACAGGGTAAAAAAGATAAATGCGTAACTACTGATTTAAAATACTGGAGACACAATAGGGTAGACCAAACTTGGTTCTCCCAAGAAGTTAAGGTACAGGGGGGGGTTAATTTTAAACAAGGATACAATCTTAAAGCAATAACATGACCTAATTAGAAAATCAAAGTTAGCAGGGAAAATATTGAGTTATTCATGTAGAAAACAAACTTTGCCAGACCAGTCTGAGAGTCTCAGTCTTGGTTAGTGCACACGGGGTCAAGTCGTGTCTGCAGACCTATATGGAACTCTCTGGTAAACGTACATGTAGGCCCGACACTTACAGTGAAAAGCTGGTCATGTTGATAGCATCATGTGATGTTTAATTAATTCCTTTTGAGCTACTCAAGCATGTCAAGTAGCATGACTAGATTACCAGTATTACTTAGTAATCGACATTCATGCCATGGTATTCGGTATAATCAGAGTCTCACGTCTGTTTTTTCTAGACTGTAGGCCTATCCATGGCCATCACGGTCATGGGACATGGCCACGAAAAACCCACGCTTGCATTGTAATGACCATCTGGTCATCATGCTGCCAATGCCATGACATGTCTGAATTCACACTATGATCGAACATTGAAAATTGTCAATAGGCCCACTCCCTATACCTCTCGTTTGTTCATTTTCATAAAGCTCTCTCGCAAGCAAACGAACGAAGTGTTTCGCCTTCTTCTCCATTACGAGTCTGTTGTCATTTCAAATTTTACGGAAGCACTTTAATTTCGAAAGCGACTCTATTTCCCACGTGCACATATGCAAGGAGCAGATGATTTTAATTTTCCTCGCATTGCAGATGTCTGAAGCCTAAACGAAATGTATTCGTTTACAACGACAGTGCATCGGACCTTTTGGGTACCAGTCTTATCATCGAAAACAGCAACACGCCGAAGTTCAGAATCGTTTGAAAGGCACCGTTCCATTGGCTATTCCACAGCCATTATTGTGCCAAGTGCTGAAGGAAAAGGCATAAGATTGTTTGGAACAGTAGAAGTTTACACATCATGTATTACCATGCAAGGATATATGTTAATTTTTCATGTAATAGTGAATATACTGGGAAAGAATTAAGTGAAGAAAACGTTTATTTATGATGAAAATGAGGAACCGAACGGGAAAACGTCATCATAGGCAGCGCTTGACCGTATCACTCTATGGACCAATCACATACTCCGTCATACAGATTGTAAGATCGCAATAAGGGTAGACATTGTCACATTTTATCATGACCATACTATTTTTTTTCATTATAAAAATATAAAAGTTTCCCTAAATTTCTCATTTGAAATATTTTTATTATTAATTGAATTTTTAAAAATGCATTAGCCAATAAATATGACATAAATTTCGTCTTAAGTAATGCCAATATTCTCTTTGGTGATAAATTACTGATTGTGACTCAACTGCATCATGGGTAATTCCCAATGTTATGTGGTGTTTGATGGGCACAAAAAGTGAAAATGGTGCATCAGAACACCTTCCAATAATGTGTGCTTTCTAACAGTAACAGGCTCATAATGGCTTCAGATTCATTTCTGAACTGTCCCACACCCTAGTGATTTCGTGCCAAGATGAAAAATGGATGACTTTTCCTCGCAGCGCGGTAAAAAAATCATGTCAACAAGTGAGTGCCAGAAAAGGCTGAGTTTTGTTTGTGTGCTTTCCAATGGGAAGGCAGCACCAGCCACTTCACACACCAACCTGGATGGAGGCTTGTTGTCAGTTTACATGACTGATGAAATTCCTTCTTAGTGATTCACTGTAATGATGGCCTTTTCTCATTCTCTCTCTTTCTATTTGCAGATTTCAACGGTGTGGCAGACGGACACAATTCTATACCAGGTGGCACAGGCGAGAAGAAATGGCGAAGTTACAAACTCTTGATTGACCCAATTCTGAAGAAGGGCCAGCAGAAATTATACCGTTATGATGGGGTGGCACCTGGGCCATCGGTAAGAGACGCATCCAGCTCTGGCCCAAGAACCGGCAGTAACCATTTTTGTTTGATTTTTTGCCCCACAGTCATCTTTCTCAAGATGATATTTGTGTTTTTTGCAACCATGACAACTGGGCAACTGACAATGCAACATTCCATGTTTACTTTGGTCTACAAACTATATGTACTGATGTAGAACTACCCTGTGTACATGTGTAATTCAAACAAACAACCCAGATATTAAAAAAGAAAAAAAAAAAGAAAAAAGAAAAAACCTGTAAGCAGCTTCTATTGTCAAACATGTTGCTCCATTATGGAAGTCAACACTGTCTTCAGAGTCAGACAAAGAACAAAGCAAATGTTAATTCACCACAGCAGTGTTGATTCAGTGTTTAGGGGTAAGAGGTATTTATTTCAAATGTTCCAATGTCGTACTGGAATCTAGCATGACTCGTGTGTCATGTGAAAATTACCTTGCAGATTTCAAGGACAGTGGTAACATTTCAGTGTAGTACTTCGGTTAATAGTGAAATGTGAAAATAACCTTATGAAGTCAGAGAAAGGGATTGATCTGAAAAGGTGAATTTGCTAAAAAAGCTAAAAACTTGCTAAAATTTTCAAGTTGTAATTAGTTGAATGGTTGACAGCACTGTTGCAACTGTTGCCGCGTTGCAAGTTTGCAATGTGGCCTTTACAATTAGTCACAGCATTCAAACTCAAATCATTGTCTGCGCTTGCCAACTGCATTGACCCAATCCTTCCCAAATTCATTTGGTTTCCAAGCACTACTTGCGAAATAAGTAATTCCAAATGAATTTGGAAACTTCTAAATAACTTTTTCAGTAAAACGTGTCTTCTAGACAAACATGTTGCAGTTTATGGTGGACAAAACCGTGAACATGTTCCTCAGAGAGTTAAGATTAAGTATTACTGTAGCAAGAAACAAGTAGTTTTTATTAATTTCATTTGCTGCAAAGTGGACCATTAATGAACTTTGATGGAAATCTTTGTTAATTCTGGACCTGTAAAAGTTCTGACTAGGATTTGTTTTGACAGTCAAGTTAAAACTGATCATATATAAGAATATACGTACTAGAATGGATCAACGTATTTTTTGATTAACTTTCTGGATATTTGGGGGCTTTAAGTACATTGCACAAACATTGCAATTTCAGGAATCCTGTCCTTCAAGTGATTAATTTCTCTCATTTCTTGGTGTAGGGTGCTGACTTCTCTGTCACTGTTTTGCGGGATCCGAGATCACGACTCTCAAGGTTTTGGAAAGGTCGTGAGAAATACGACCTCCCTGTACCCAAATTCAAGGTTTGTATCCTTCCAATAGCAGTCTGTCGGTCATTCTACTCAGTATAGAGAACAATTTGAATCTAGTTTTGCAGAATCCCTTTGATGTTTGTTCTTGAAAATCCATAGATTCAATTTTTATCTGCTTCATTTTCATTCACTGAATTGAAATAAAGTGATAAGCTCAACTGTGGGCATACAAATCATGTGTTGATTGTATTGGGATTTTTTGGACAATCTTGTCGTTTGTCAACTTTTTTCTTGTTCATGTGGCATTATTTAAATTGATTTAATATATAGGAACTTCACAGCAGACAGTGCAAAGAATGCAGTCATTAATTGGCCCTTCAAATTTCAACTTTTTGCTTCAGTTCTTTTCTGAAGCTCTGTTTTGGTACCAACTCAAGTACCTGTTAGTTGGTCATTTCATATTCAGAGAATTGTGTCCATGGCCCCTTACATCCTGGTCTGTCTTTTTGTTGCATCCAGTATGACAAATATTATGTTGGAGAGCTGCCCCCTAAGCAATGCACCATCACCAACCTCAATGACAACGTCCGGGAGGCTTTCCTACGCAACATGTTTGAGAAGTTTGGCACCATTGAGGACATCAGCATCTGCTTCCACCCAAAGACTCGCAAACACCTGGGGCTGGCCAGTGTGACTTTCAGCACAACGAGAGCAGCCAAGCAGGCTGTTACAGAGCTGAACAGGACGTCAGTCATGGGCAAGATTATCATAGTGCAGATTGATGCCGGAGGTAGGACAGTATCTTTGTGTTCTGTCAAGTTCCCTTTTCCACAAAATCTGGCATTGCTTTTTCAATGAAGCTGTTTTATTTCAACCATTTTCTGAAGTGCGTTTCACTCTTTGTTTTGCTTTAATATAAATTGGATGCATTTCCTTGATACTTGGATGTATATTTCCATGAAAAACAAACTTGACACATGGTGACATAGATACGTGACAAGGGCAATGTGTGTGGAGGAAACCGGGGTGACAGGATTAGGTCTAAATCAAGTTGCCATTTTATTAAATTCACAGGTTCTCGGTGCTTTCCATCTGTTTACAGGTACTGAATACGAGAGGATCTATGACTGTCTCGTCAATAGCTCCACACCTAGTAGTTCCAGCTCCACCCCGCGTGACCCCCGACACGGCCTTGCCACCCCTGACACGCCCACTCCTCGCAGTGGTTCTGGGGACCCTCGGAAACTATCTGTAGACAGTAAAACCCCGTTAGTGGCAGAAGGTACCCCGTTGAGCATGCCCGATCATCAGTTTGCATACCCGGAACCACCCCCTGTGGGTTACCCAATGGGGTCAGATCAGGGCTTTCCTGTACCCCCAGGCTCGGCTGGTAACCCTGGACTTAGTAGTAACTTTGCTAATATGAATATGCAGGAGTTGGGAGGGAACCACTCGGGTCCTTATCCTCAGGACTTCAATCCTGGAGGTATGGAGCAGTTCCCGCCCCACGGTGGTAACTTCATGCCTCCGGAACATCATGGGATGTTTCAGAGACCTCCTCCGGATCACTTAGCTGCTCAGCAGGGGAGGGGTCTCCCGCCAGGTTTCCAAGACCCCAATGCCAATATGCCCTTCCCCTCTCAGATGCCTCCCCCACATGGTGACTATACCATGCCCATGCAGCCAGGATTCCATCCGGGGCATCCCAGTGCAAATTACAATATGTACCAGGATAACCAGGCATGGGATCACCAGAATTACGGACAGCAGGGGACCGGGGACAACTTCAGATATTCAAATCAGCAGCAGGGGTACGGGAACCAAGGAAGGCCTGGCCAATGGGATCGGCAGTTCGACAGACGTGGTGTCCAACATGACTTTCAATCGCATAGGCATCACGATTCAGATTCATCATACTCGCGTGGGAATTTTTCTGATAGGAAATCCAATCGAGATCGATCCAGGGAAGCAGATAACTCTGCAGACTGGAGGACCAAAGCAAAATCAAGGACTCATCAAAGAGACTCCTTGCCTACCTCAGTCGATGAGGATAGCAACACAGTGGACATGGAACTTGCCACAGAGAGGGCAGCCTCCACACCTGTTCAGGATGAGGAGGAGAAACTGCCACCTGCCGCGGAAGAAGAGGCTGCGTCTGAGACGAGTGAGCCTAGCATGAGTCTGGACTCTCGCATTGAAGCACTCTTACAGCGTCAATCAGGAATGGGCTTTGGGTTTGAGCTAGATTCCTCAGCCAGTTCTGGCCAAGGAGACAGTACTAGCAACAATGCTGCCGGTGAGTTCAGTCCCTGCCCATCACCTGCGGATGGGGATTCCCCACTCCTGGATGAAGGAAACAGAACAGGTACCGTACAGGAGAGCAGTAGTGACCACTCCCCCTTCCCCAGGTATGACAACGCGGGGAAACACCGGGAAATGCAGGACACATCCAAGCACAAATCACGGACTGACAAACCGCACTTGGAGCGGCAACTTGGTCACGCCAGTTACAAGAGGCTTCAGCATTCCAGAGAGGACAGCACAGACAGGTTTGCAGCCGACGATTCCTGTAGTCGGGACTCGGTAACCTCACTTAAATCCACTCCTGAAATCAGAGACACAGACAAAGCTTCCACGATCCCGTCTGGGTCTTCGACCCCGACTGTGAGTGAAAATACAGGCCACTTGAACATAGGCTCGTTGATCAGCAGAGGCCTGTCAAACCTTCGCAACATTGCCGATCAGGCACCTTCTCCAGCAATCAGCGGAAGTCCATTTGTAGAGCATCAGGGAAGTGTAGATGAGAGCTTGGGATCTACTCCAGTTGAATCAGAACCCCAGTCAAGTAGACTGTTTTCTTCCACTCAGTCTGAGCAGCAGGTAAGTTTAGTCGATGACATCATAGTTCCAGCCACCATGTGGCGACTGTCACCAACTGCTGCATATTTACAACCTCTTGCTATAATCCTGTGCAGTTGTGAAAAAGTATTTAGCACTGCATACAAAAATAATGTGTCAAAAAATGTGCATTTATCTACAACTTTGGCTGTTGTTCAAATGAGGACCTCTACTCGTTTTGTCTAAGTCTGTTGATATAGGAAGTTTTTTTGTGTACTCTGTAATTCTTTCATAATGATATGAAAAGAAAGCATAGTGCTCTATCTTTTTTACATTTTTCTGATGCAAAATTTCTTTGTTTTTACTTTCTAGCATTTTTTTATTTGTGAGAATGTTAAGTTGGGACAATGGTAATTCACTGATGAAGAATTTGAAACTGATTTGGCAAAGGTTGCATAGGGGTTAACCAGCCGAACTGTCCTGTGCGCTTGAGTGATTTCCTAATTGTTATAGCATTCAAGCCTGCCTCAACTACACATTTTCTGTTTCTGCAGGTCCAGATTGAGATAGCAGATGCTTTAGCGTCACGTACTGTGGCAGAAAGTTCTCCCTCAGACATGGATGTAGATGATGATCGCATGAGTATGTCATCCATCAGTAGTGGGGAGGACACGAAACTAGAGGTCAACATTCCCGTCTCGCAACCAAATGAACCCCGTTCATATGGACCTCCAATGCTCCCCCCTCCACCCCCACCATCCACTCGGAGCTCTCTGAATTTTGGCCAGTGGCCCGGTAGTGTGTCATTGCCGGGATACAGTGGGCCGTTTTCATCAGCCGGGCCAGCCAACTTCCAACCCGGCTTAGGCTTCTCTGGTATCCAGTCCCAGTTCCTCAGCACAAATCCTTACGCCATACCGTCATCCATCAATGCAGCCACCTTCCCCACTGCCAGCATGGCCCAGACGGCCTCGCTGCCCAATCAGTTCATGAACCAGTGGACGGGCATGGGGATGACCCCCGCCCAGTTTGGCCAGATGCCCACCAACCCTCAGCAAAACCCGATGCAGATGATGGCCCGCCTTGGGGGATTCCCCATGCCGTCATTCAACCTGAATCAGCCTGGGTTCCCTCCCGGCCAGAACCCCTTCCAAGATCAGGCACGGATGCCAGCCACGGGACAGGCAAATCAGCTCAACACCCCCTGGCCGGGACCCATGCCCCCGACGCCTCAGTTCCAACAGTTTCTGCAGCAGTTTCCTCAGCAGTTCCAGACGCCGCCGATGCCCAATGCCCAATCGGAGCAGAGCTGGCACTCTTCACCTCCCAAGGCTGACCCACGGGAGGAACTGATCAGTGAACTACTCAAGACCACGTACATTGAACTCAAGAAGATTATGAAGAAAGATCTTGGGCGTAAGATGGTAGAATCGTCAGCTTTCAAGTCGCTGGAGGCCTGGTGGGATGATTGTGAGCGCAAGTCAAAGGTTTGTCCAGTTGAACATTTGTGATCTGAAGAAGCTCTTAACTAACCAGTGACTGTGGACATGAACTTTAATGCCGTACTTTTTGCTGATTATAGCTGTTGGACATCCTGTTATGTGTGCGAGTCATTTCATGTCGAATCACCCCAATATTTGGAAGTTCAAATCCAAATTTTGTGGTCTTTAGAGGAACTCAGATGAAAATTGTGCCAGTGTTTTCTTCAAAATGCCTCTGATTTAAAGTATTCCTTGCTTCCTTTTACTTCACCTCCAAGATTACGAACTTATTACTAAATAGAAATCTGTTTTATGCCAACGTACATGTAGCTACAAGAATGTAAACATCATTGATTATTGTTGATATTAACTTTCATTTTGTTAATGTCTGTCCATTCAGGAGCCCCTCAGAGTCTCCACAGACAACGAGAAGCCCTCGCCTAAGGTGCAGCCGTCTCCCTTGATGTCCTTCTCATTTCGCTCAAGCTCTTGGAATCAAGGCTTATCTCAGGGCAAGAACCTGGGTCTAGAGAGTATTGGTCTTGGCCTGGGGGTCAGGGCAACTATGCCTCGCATGCCTTCATTCAAGGTGAGACAAGTGGGACATGTTGGGATACAGTGTAAGCATGTTTTTGACAGTGTGATTACATATAATTTGTATACAAGTATTTGCAGTTAAAAATATCACTTTTGGTAAAAAATGATTAGTTTTTCAGTGAACAGTTCCGAGCATCAAATCCTAGTCAATCTGCTGATTCAGTAGTTTCTTAAAGAGGAAGTGAGGGATGAAAGTTCCCTGAGCTGTGAGATTAATCGGTCAGTGTTAGAAGCCGAGAAGCTGTTCACCAGCGGGATCATTGATTTCATCACCAGTCTGTCATTTATTTGATTTTTGTTCAGGTGAAGAGGAAAGTTGCAGAGGAAGAAGAGGATCGAGAGAAGAAGCCGAGGGCGGAGACACCACAGCTGCTTGATGAAGATGCATCAGGTAGTGCAATGAGACCACAAACTGGGGTTGAGAAATGGCGATAGGGGCCCATGTTTTAGGAGGACCAAGAAAAGTGATACAGCCTCTGCGGACAGCATTTTGACAAAAGTCGCCTGAAATGTGCCGAGCTGAAAAGTTGGAGGGCCTGATACTTTCACTGAAGTAGGAAAACATTAAGCTTTTGAACTTGCCATTGTTTTCATTTTTTTCCCAGTTTCGAAGTTATTAATAAAGATTTTTTCATGAAGCATATTGTCTGAGATGCTCAGTGATCTGGTTTATCTTGGAACTGCACCAAACTGGCAGAAGAGATTCATAGCATTTACAGCCAAATTCCTCATTGACTATCCACCAGCTGACCTTCAAGTCTCAGTGGAAATTTTTATCAGCCAAGTTCAGCCTTCATTTGCCTGCTTCTGGATAAGATATCATCCTTTCACAAATTGATGAGCTCTCTTCAAGAAATCCATGAAATTGGTGTAAGGGTAGAGTGCTCAAGGCTTCTTTGATTTAAAAAAAGATATCAGTGGTAATGCCTATAGGAATAAAAGAGTTTTTCCGTTTCTTGACTGTCTTGCAATCTTACCAGTTGGAGCTTTTATTTTTGTATTTAGACACAGAGCAAGATAAATACGACAAATCGGAGAAGCAGTCACTCAGAAAGCCAAGGAAGAGTGTGATCAGTGATGATGAGGAAGACGACTACGAAGAAGATGATGCTGAGAAGATAAGCAAGGAGGTTGATTTAGAGGACGAAGACGAAGAAGATGAAGAACTAGAAGAGTCAGACTCTGATTATGAAGGTAAACCTCTCAAAGACATTATCAAAAGACACTGAAAAGATGGGAGGATTTGTTTTTATCACCCCACTCTTACTGAAGTGGCAAAACAGAGTGTCACGTAAGTTGCCTTAAGTCCCAGTTTAAGCTGAGAATCATATAAGGTTTTGTTACTTTTAGAAGGTTTGAATTGCTTTGCTAAACTGCTTTTGATTTCCATTTTTTATGTAGCACTTAATAAATGTGAACTTGATGACAACATTCACTGACTCAAAAGTACATTTCACGAAAACTTCAAGTGTCATTGATTTTGTCTCTTCTAATGTTTTTCTTTGTTGTAATTCTGAACTGACTGTAAGGTCCATGAGGGTCATTCTAAGTTGATTTGTAAACTTCTTGTTGGTGAAAAGTTAATGATCCTTGAAAATGCTGCCTCGATAGATGAGATCAGCATGAAGAGTGGCTCTGAGAGCTCGGAAGAGGAAGAAGAGGAGGAAGAAGATGAGGCATCAGATGTCAGCGAATCAGAGGAAAGCAGCTCAGAGTCGGAGGTCTCATCTAGCGAGGAATCAGACTTGGAGGATGAAGCAAAAGACACCAGCAGGTTAGTCAAGCTACCTTGGACCCTGTGCCCAGTTTGACAGTTCTGGCCAGCAAAAAATAATACTGATACAGAAAGAAGGTCTGTGACTGAAAAAACAGTTGCTTTATTCGTGGGTTATTTTTTTGGATGCACAGGAAAGATTCCAAAGCTGTTTTGGATATCAAACGAGAGGAGAAACTGGCAAGGATCCCTGAAGAAGGAGAGGAGGATGAAACTGTTGCAGCAGAGATGGAAACAGTCAAAGATAAGAGTTTAATCACCAAGGAGGCAGATAAGAAGGCTGTCAATGGAGATGTCTCACAGAAGGAATCTGTCAAAGACAAGTAGGTTGTGGTTTGATCAGGGCAAGTTGCCTGTTCTGGGCAAGATTTGGAGCTCCCACCTATTGATTCTCAATGATTAACTCAAGTTGATCATGAATGTTCATTGTACAATTATATGTAAGGCATGCAAATCTCTTACAATTGCTTTCTCTGCCCACCACTGTTTTAGTTGTCCCAGAAAACTGGGCAAGTGTTTCCTCCGCTGAATGAATGAGCGTGAATCTGGATCATGAAGTCTGCATCCTGATTTATGGTGGTATTGATACAAAACCAGAAGTGTTCCTTGGTTTAAAGCCTTAGAAATTGCTCAAGTACTGTATTGATTTACTTTGGGATAACAGGATGGAAGAGAAGAAATCCAAGACCAGAGTCACCAAGGAAGCCAGCGACAAGGCCGACAGCAAAGAGAAGCCCTCAGAGAAGAGCCAGGAGTCTGCCCAAGATTCTAAACCTGACAGGACGTCAAGGTTGAACTCCTTTGAGATGCTGGTAGAGCTGGCCACCAAGGCACGGACCGAGCTCCTCGAGGATGCCCCCAAGGAGGTCGCCAAGGAGACAATGGAATCCTCCAAGGAGATGGAGGCCGCTGAGTTGCTGCAGACCATGAAAAACAAAGGCCTGCAACTGACTCCATCCAAGGAAGATGGCATCAGGAGACAGTCAGCTGGAGGCAGGGATGCTGAGCATCTAGAGATGGAGAACATTGAAGAGGAGGTTGTCATGGAATCCGTGGAGGATATGGAGTTGGAGATTGGTGCTAAGAAGGGACAGAAGGCTGCTCTGCCCAAGGTAAGTGGAAGCTTGTTTAAAATGACTCAATGGCAGAAATGAGAGAATCCAGTCAATCTACTAAGACCTATCTGAAACTACTTTTCCATTACTTTAGTGCAGCTCATTCAAGACAGTTCAAGCCTAACCTCAGAATGGGGGGGGGGTTAAGTATTAGCCTTGTTTGAATGCAGAGGACTTAACTCAGTACAGTAGTACAATACAGTAGGATGGCCTGACCACCAGGTGACCGTAATGACCAGATGCCTGTAGGTCATTCGATCCTAGGCAGCATGTAGAAGGGTTGATAGAGGTAGAGTACTTGAGACCACCTGGACCCAAGTGAACCTTGGACGGTCTCGGGGGCAATGCCATCCGCGAGGAGGTTGCAGTGAGGCCGCCTGTAGAATCTCCTGCACTGGCCTGATCTCAAATAAACCGACCACTGTGCTAGTTCACAGAAACATTTAGACTTCGTGGATATCATGGTCACTTTGGTAGACCACCAAGGTAGGTTTGGATGGCTCAGTGTATTTGTTTTTGTAGAATGGTTACAGGTTAATTCTAGGGGTGGGAATTTATGTTCAATTTGAAAAAGGTTTTGAAAACATTCCTATACCACTGAAATATTTAGTCAACACTTTGAAGACCTTGGTCTTCATATGTGCATAATTATGTAGTTCAACAGTGCACATGGTCCAACCAATGTAAAAATGTAAGTTGATGTTGGGGCATTTAAAAAAAGCAAATGTTCATTATTTTAGAATCCAGTTTTTTTCTCAAAAAGTACGTGGATGTTGAAAAGGGAAAAAACAGTAACAGGCATCGTTTACAATAAAAATTAACACCAGATTGTGTCAATCAAACGTCAAACCTCTAAAAAAATCTGTCTACGGATTTGGTATTTTTTCGTTTAAATGTGTAAATGTTCCATCCTTATTCCATCCTTATTTCATTCCATTGCCACTCAGTTTTATTTCTACTGGAAAGTCAAGGTAAGACAGTTTCGCTGAAGCAGTAGAATTCGTAATTATCCAAAGATTGTCAGTTTAAGAATCACACCAGTCTTTCCCCCCTCTTTTGATTCATGATTTTCTTTGAATTCCCTTGTTTAGGAAATGGCAGATGAACAGCAGCCCCTTCCTTTCCTGGATCACAGCTACTGCCAGCGCCCGCCCCCTTCCCCCATAAGGAAAACTCCGCCCAAAGATGCCGCCGACCCAGTCCGTTTCAGTCAGCCCACTCTTAAACTGGTCAAGTTGGACCTCTCGGACCAAGAGCTTCCCACCGTGCCAAAAGCCACAGAGGCGGAGGATATCATAGACGTGGTCTCAGAAGCTGAGGCAGAAGTCTCGCCTAAGAAGCAGAAATCCGCCAAGAGGAAACACCCCAAAGAGGAACCCTCCTTGGAGGAGGAGGTTGCCATCCCAGAACCCTCCAAGCCCCAGTTTATGCCTAGGAACTATTACGAAGAATGGGGTCTCCTCTACCAGATCTTAGCAGTAGGAATAGACCAGGAAGATTCGTACTATCTACGGAAGAGCTATGAATCTATGTTGCAAGAAGGACAGATCCCTTGGCTTAGTTACACCCACTGGGTTTCTCATCCACATATCCTTTGCTCAAGCCTCAGTTAATTACCTCTCTTTTGTTTCGTTCCATAGTAATGCAGTGTGGTGCATCGTAAACTGCCATCCAATTTGAGCTGTGATCTTAACCACTTCTTGCCGGGGCATTTATCAATGTTGATGATGCTGGGGCGGGATATTTATCATTTTTTTTCTGTTTTCAAAATTCTATCTTCATTTACTGGACACTTACAAACAAGTGAAGGCATGTCTGGTGTCCACTCTAGCCAGACAGACAAAATCTATTGACGCCTGAGTATTTCGGCCAGGCCTGCAGCCTTGTAAAAAGAGCCCAGATTTTGTGGTGTTATGTAATATTCTTTTGTTCACGAACCTGGCTCAGTGTGCTGCTAACCTCTTTTCAATATGGGCCAGATTAGCGTGCAGCGGTGCTGTGTGGCTCATTGCTGCGGTAGTGGAGCACTTTTGTCCCCGGTGGTAATCCGCTCGCTCTAAATGCCCCAAACCGTGGTATAGGGTTTCGAAACAAGGCAGGATTGTCTCCACTTTTGAGAGTGAAAAAATGTCGGTAATTCCCAGCAGCCTGGTCTTTTGTTCAGAGTACGGTCTTTTGTTACAAGGCCCTGTTCCCTTTGTCCACATCTGGAGTCCCCGGCAGAAAGTGGTTAATGAATGGCAGATAAAATGATGCAATCACAGTTGCATTTGTTCATTTTTAGAGGAGAAAGCAGACATCTGTGGCCAGTTAATCTTAGTTTTTGTTCTGTAAACACTACTTTCAGCCAGTGTAATGATGCCATAGAAATTGACAATTCAAACAAAGTGTCTTGTACGCAGGAGTTTCCATTTTTATGGCAACTCGTTGCATGTTGGTTAAACTACAGTCAGTAATAGTGGTCAGGAAATGTACGCAAAGGAATGATCCGTTTTATTGACAGCACTTTGCAAGCTGTTGGTCTCTTGAAATGCCTTTTGTTATGTCACCGTTAAACCATTTGCAGACGCAGTGCGGGATTAACGAGTTTGAACTAATGCACTTCATGACAGTGGACAAATTTGGAGGGATTATTCCTTAACTGCTTGACACTGACCGCAATACCAGATCCGCCCAAAAAGAAACGCAAGGTAGATGATGTCAGGGTCCATGCAACAGGCTCAGCCAGAACTGAAGGATTCTACAAGATCACAACTCAGGAGAAGAAGAAATATTTGGCAAGGTTACGATCGTTACCCCAGGAAACAGGAGAAAATAATGAGGTAAAAAATAAACCTTGGAACAACTCAAAAGTTTGTACGAGCCAGTCGGGACATCCATGACAGTGTTGGGTTGAGTCCATCACAAGTCCTTGTACAAGTCGCTTTACAAGCCTAGTCACAAGCCAGTAGGGACATCCGTGACAGTGTTGAAGTTGAGTCCATCACAAGTCCTTGTACAAGTCGCTTTACAAGCCTAGTCACAAGTCCCTTCACCAGGCCAGTCCTACATGTCATTCAGAGGATGAACAATGACAAGAGATTGCCTTGGCAAAGTTCATATGAATAGCTTATGACTTGGCCTTAGCCTGAATGACTTGTAATGGACTTACAGAGACTTGTAATGGATTTGAATAGACTTGATGGACTCATGAGGTCTCAAAAGGTTGAATTGAGTAATGTGGCGCTGATTCATGGGTTCCTGAGAAATCTATCAGTGTTGAAAAAGAGTAACATCAGTGTGAATGTAGGGCACGCATCTCATTTGAAGTCATTCTTATATTTCAACCGATGATGGTGCATGTAAACCAGTGAAAGGTTATCCATTCTACACTGGTTCCCTACCCCTCCCCTTTTAAACTGTTGAATATAATGGAGGAAACGGGAACCAACTTGGCCACTCTGTCATTTGCTGCACCCAGTGCCCTGATGCGCATTGATTTCCAAGTGTGTACACTACCAGTTGACCATTAAGAATGTTACAATTATAAGCCGTGTCCAGTTCAACTGGCTGTGGCTTTTACTTACACACACCTCTGTGGGAAATGGCTGCTGCCGCAAGCATGTGGCTCCATAGGGGCACATGTTGATTCTAGCCGTAGCTGTGATTTTTGGACACAGCCATTTACCCATGCACAGTCTTTTACAGTGGAACGTCACTATACTGAACATTTGGCTGTACCGAACATCGTCCTAGGCTCCCCAAATTTTGTACACAAAACCTACCGAACATTATGCAGTTGCAAATCAACCGAGATTTGCCTCGGCATGCATCAGAGATCAATCCTTAGCAGGAGCTTCACGATTATTAGGATAAAATTTTGTAAGATAAGATTTTGTAACTCAACATTTAATAAAAAACAAAAATAATTAACAAACACAGTTCTAGAAACCTCAAACGTGAATCCAATGGCAAAACATCACGAAAACAGCGAATCATAGTATCACAAGAGGGTGCACTTCAGTTAGACAAGAGAGGGCACTATTCAAAATGGCAACAAAATGTTCGGCTGGAAATTTCGCTATACCGAAAGGCCGCTGTACTGAACATTTAGCGTGGACCTCCTCGTGCTCATTATAGTGGCGTTCCACTGTACTCAAAACCACGTTCTTCATTCCTCACCAGGATTCGAGCGTTCCGATCAAGGCCAGTGGCGGTAAACACATGGAGTTGTCTCGAGAGGCTAGGTCTGACCAACGACGAGCGATGGCCACGCTCACTCGGCAAGATGGTGCTGTGTCTGATCTCCTGAAATTCAATCAACTCAAGGTGAGAATCTCTCAGCTTGGTTTGGGAACACATTGCAGTGATCTGGGCTGCAAATTCCTAGTTTTTTTGCAGATCAAGACGAAATGTTACCTCCTTGGTGAGTGCTGATGGTAGGATTTGATATCTTGTGTGAGAGGCATGAATTGAAGACCCTCAATAGATGACTGTTGAGCTTCAGTGAGTCCGAGTGTTTTAGTTGCGTAGTTGAGTAGATTTTACGAGTTTGAGTAGTGACTCAAACTTCACTCGGGTATTAGTATAAATAGTACACCTCTGAGGTTGTAGTTGAGCGTTTAAGTAATGGGAATTGAGTGCGAGACTGGTTCATTCAAGTTATTGGTACAGTTATAATATTGGATTTGTAGTTCATAAAGAGTGAAGAATTGGGGGGGGGTACAAATGGGAGTGTCTTCCTTGTAAGTGCCATCCAGCCTGTGCTCTAGTCCAACTGTGTACATGTTTACAGACTCTGACAGTAGCGTAATACCCTCATGAGCACTGTAGTTTTATGAACTCAAGGCACTTGTGCATTTTTCAAAATCGGAACTCCTTTTTGGTTAAAGAACTACAATGTATGTAACGTGCTGCTACAAATGCTGTAACACAGCAGTTCCACCATGAACATTCTGTTTGTTGCTTGTTGATTGTAAGCAGAGACAGTTGACCAAAAGCCATGGGCAAGTTCCATCAAGGACCACTGGTTAAGCAGTGGTTGATTCGTGATGTACCTGATGCATGTGCAGGGAAGTTGAAGTGTGAACAACCCCAGTCAACCGTTGTCAGGTCATTAGGCTAAAGGGGAGAAAAGGTGGCTGCAGGAAGGGCAAAATAGCAAAAGTCAAAGTGAAAATGGTCCTTTACTAGTAGCATACTGTTTTTCTGACGCTTTTCTTATAACTGGTCTTCTCTGCACTGTGCTATTAAAATGGTCTATAGCAACCAACAATGTGACCAACCTCGATAGGCTGGCATGTGTTCGATCAGAGTTAGTTGAACTATGGTCCTTGATCGAAGTTGTCCTTAAGTTTCCTGTGAGTTTGCGTGAGTCTTTGCTAGATGTCGCTCATATGATGAGTAACTGGTGTCTCTCAACAGTTCCGTAAGAAGGATCTGAAGTTTTTGAAGAGTGGTATCCATGGCTGGGGTCTGTACGCCATGCAGCCCATCTCGGCTGATGAGATGGTCATAGAATACGTGGGTGAATCCATCCGTCAGAGCGTGGCCGATGAGCGGGAGATGAGGTATGAGAAGATCGGGATTGGGAGCAGCTACCTGTTCCGCATCGACTCCGATAGTATCATCGATGCTACCAAGACCGGCAACTTGGCTCGGTTTATCAATCACAGTTGCATGGTGAGTAGCAAGTAAAATTTGGGCCTAGATCACCGTTCCATTTCATGAAGGCCTGTACTGCATGCAGCAACAGAGCTGTGCTAAGCGTAGACAAGATTTACTAAGTGAAAGCAAGGTACCAGCCACGATACCACATGAGGGTTTTACTGTCACTGTTCCCTTGCTGGTTTCAGTTTGGAAAACATTTGCTCAGCAGGTTTTCTCCCTTCCACCAAGCACTTTCCTTCATTCAAAGATTTGAATTGTAGTTTGTATTTTATGTTTGAATTACAGCCTGCACTGTCTCTCCGATGATTTTTTTAAGGTCATAACAGCATTTCTGAAGTTGAGTGCCACGTGAGGCATGACTTGGTGGATTGATAATTTCATACTGGAGATGTTCTTGACGTGAATTGTGCCGACTTCTGACAAATCTTCAGCCCATTTTCTTGTTCTTTTAATGGCAAAATTAACTTGTCAAATGTTCATTGCATTTTCCTCCTCAGCCCAACTGCTATGCCAAGATCATCTCCATGGAATCACAGAAGAAGATCGTGATCTATTCCAAGCAGAACATCAGCACGGGGGAGGAGATCACCTATGACTACAAGTTCCCCATTGAGGATGAGAAGATCCCTTGCCTGTGTGGCACGGCCCAGTGCAGAGGTACTCTCAACTAAGATGCCGTCTCCATGGGCATCTTGGCTCCGAAGCTTCACGATACTTCACCGATCCTCCTTTATGCAGGGAACAAGAATCACTTGGTTTGTACTTGGGAAAAAGTGGACTTAAAAAGTCCCATGTGAAGTACAGACTTTTGAATCCACAGCATTCTTCAAATAGATTTTGAAAGCTTAGATCCATATACCAGTAAACCACAGTCACAAAGGGTGTCCATACCCTTAACCAAACCAAATGTCACAGGGCCAAATGTTTTTTACCTTGCTTTGCTGGTGCAGCAATTTTCAGGTTTAAGTCTATGCACTTTATTGCAGATATCAAAACGGAGGTCCATCCGAACCATCCACTGTCAAATATTTTGGGGAAATATTAAGTTTTTGTGCACTCTTTAGGTGTAGTGGAGTGGTAATGACTGTGTGAAGGTACCTGAGAGAAGGCTTATCCCCCTATGTGGAACACAATTGTAGTAGAGACCATCAAAGGACCAGACACAAGACCTGACGCAAGATCATGTTCAGGACCTTCCATGAGACCAGTCACAAGTGACAGCGTGAACAATGACAAAGGAATGCTTTTGTTGCAGTTGATTTGATAGGCTTGTGACTTGACTTTGACTTGAATTCAGACTAGAGGTCTTGTGTTGGTCTTGTGTGGTCTTGTGAAGGTCTTAAGTGGTCTCAACTACAACACTGGCAGAAAAACTGTTACTTAGCAGTTTCAGGTTATTGGCTAAAATCTCATGAATTTCATCGCAGATGAATGGTTCCCAGCTGAGATTTGCTTAGCGTGATTTTACTAAGCCTTCTATTTCTGCTAAACTATTACTCATGACATTAGCGCCATGAGCGGCGTATACCGGCGCTCTATAAATGTTCATTATTGTTATTTTTATCATGGTGCTCAGCCCACAGATTTGCTCACCGTAACAAGGTTTCTTTAGTAACACCATGCAATGGTGTGTCCCTAACCAAATTTTCTGGAAGGGCAAACTTTTTTGCAGTGGAACTAAACATCTATCGAAGACTTTTAAAAATGTAACTTGAGGCCTCTCTGAGGGGTGAGGCTGTATCTTTTTGGGGGGCTTTTTACGTGCTTTCAGGAGGAAGAGAAAGGAACTAGGAGGACAGTCTTTCATTTGTGTACAAGCGATGCGCAGTAACTAACATACAAGTACCAAAGGAACCTCCATTGCTAGGAAAATTGCCGGGCCCCTTCTTGGTCCAGCTTGGGGGCCCATATTGCTTTATGTGGGTAGTTCTTGGCTGAGCAAGGGAGTATGCTGAACACTAAGCATATTCTATCAAGCACATCATTGATACGCACCCTAGGCAGATAAGCACAGGTTTTGTTAAGCTTAGGAATCTGTGTGAAGTAACACCAGGTTACCAGCTAAAATGTGCTAAAATGCACATTGCTTATGACTGGTTCTCTGCTGGTTTTGGCTGAACAAGAAAACGTACACCGGAGTGAATTGTGCCGTGAAATCAGGCTGATGTTTGAGGAGAGGCCTTTATTACTGAAAGGCTACATTGCCCTGAAAAGTTGCGTATTGCCAGCTCAGCCCTTCGTTGCAGAAGTTGATAAAGTTGATAGTAACTGTAGTATGGTGGCACGGATTTGCACAGTTGAAAGAGGATCCGAGTGTGGAGACT